TACTACATTTCTATTTTTTTCTTTTTAACAAAAAGGCACATGGTTGGTCCACATCCCCTGATTACATGTTATATAAAAATATCTGCATCACAGTCTCTTCACCTAGGGGGTCTTGGGTAAATGTTGCACATGATTGGTTGTTTTGTGTTTCAATTTTCTAACTCAATTGTCTATAGAATCATGCACAATCTTACGTATGTGTGCGACTTTTCTGTATACGGAAAAAGGACAACCATTTTCTGACACAAAATGGAAGAATCTACCAGCTAAGGAATGTTTGTCCTAGCATGAGTTCTCTAAGAACGACAAACAGTGCCACAGTTCTACATAATAATGCTGTCACAGTCCTCAAAAGTCTTATGACAAGGAAAATGTTTGAGGTGTTCGAAAAATATGGTTTTGGTACAAGTCTGTGTAATGAGAAATGTCCGAAGACAACTTGGGAAAATCTTTAATTTAAAGACTTTCATTTTGTATGTACAAACTCCCTCTTCCAAGCAATAACAACATGGGGTTGCCACAATGGTCTTAGTCTAGTTCTCAGTTGTAACATCTGAAATATACATGTACTCTATGGCATTAACTGATGAGGCATTCATTGTTATGTTGGCAAGAATTATATTCTAAAAGACACCTTCTGTTGTAACTGTACTTCATGCCAAAATACAAAATATTTCAGAAATACCGTACTGTGTGTTGTGTACCCTAAATTTTGAAATTTTCACTCGAGTTTGTAAGTTTGAGGTTCTAGCAAAGACATAGTCTTCCATTGTGTTACTTCCATTGTTTCAAACCCAAAGATACCGCGAAGTCTTCATTCTCATGTGCTGCAAACTTAAAGGAATACAGTAACTTATCAGGTGTGTCCTCTTCTTGCTTGATTCTTGTCGTCGATACAAGAAAACACGAGAGCTAAGGCCACACCAATTTAATTTGTTGTTTCTCGGATTTTTTCAAAAAAATATGAAGCGACATGGCGAAAAAAAAAAAAATAGGCCAAGGCACCCCATGCAGGCCAGAAATGTTACAATATGAGCCATGAAGTGAACATACCATGCTGGTTTATAATTAAAATAAAACAATAGATTTTGAACTTTAAATGAAACGAAGTTGCACTGTTGCATTGAAAAACTTAAACAACTAGGAAAACATAGTTGTGGCCAACATATGTCTTTCCTTGAGCATTTTGCAGTTGATTCAGAACCTAAAATCTTTTTTTTTGCAAATCAGAAAAAATGGACAGGGCGAATCAGAGAAACAACAACTTAAATTGGTGTGGCCCAAACTTCCATTCAAAGAAAGCAGAAGCGAACTACTTTGCTAAGTCAAAAAGAATACTGTGCACGTCACTCAGCATGTAAATTTTGCAACTGTTAGGATGAAGCTAAAATTCAAACCACAACTTACAGCATCCAAATGAAATTTCTTCTATACATTAAACATAGTCTTTTTCATATCATCAACCATTACAATAAAGGAAAAACACCTTGTCAGATACTATTTCTACCAAAAGACTGTCACAAGAACATTGTAATCAGGATCATAAAGTCAGTGCTATTAATGTTTAAATTTATTTCATCACAACGAGGACAAAGATCAAATTTTAAATAACCACTTTTGACGTCATCAGGATAATTAATCACCAATCACTTCTGAACGTAAACTCACAAGAGTTGCAGTTACAAACACGTCACCTTATTCTCACAAGACTTTACGGATATGTGACGTCTGCAATTGATCAAACGTACCAGGGAGTTTACTGTCGCAAGTTTACATTCGAAAGTGATTGGTCATTAATTATCCCAATGAAGGCGCCGGTGGTCGTTGAAAATTTGATCTGTTAATGTCCTTGTTGTATTGGAATAAAATAAAGTTCAACATTGTACTGTCATCACTACCAACATACATGTAGATGAACTTTCATGATAATTTAAGACTAAAGGATTAAACTGTACGAGACAATTACATCCTACAACAACTATGTAACTATGAAAGTTCCTGTACAAACAGGTCCAACCTAACAAGTGAAAACTAAACAAACCTGAAACCACAACTTCATTTCCTTTTGGAATGCCCAATTTACAAATTGTTGGCATCCTTTTCGTCTCTTGAGACGATGGAATATGCGCCGTGGGTCAGGATGTCTTCATGCATCGCCTGCTATGGCTGTAGAGGCCGATCCTGGAGCGGCATACTTTGCCGCAGTTGACACAGGTGAAAACGTCTGGTTGTGTGCAGGTTTGTGCTGGTCTCTGTCGTCTACGCTGTCTTCTCTCCTCCCACTGTTCTTCTCTCCTCTTCTCACTGGTTTTGACGCCTGTCTTCACGGCTTGCCTCCATCTGCTGCGTCGGCTGCCACTGTCTCCCAGCTGTTTGGTCGATCCCTCCTGCCTTCATGTCACGCTTGAGGACGTCTTTGTAGCGGAGGACGGGCCTCCCCGCAGGTCTGGCACCGGTTGCTAGTTCTCCGTACAGCACGTCCTTCGGTATTCGGCCATCGTCCATTCGGCTAACATGACCGAGCCATCTCAGACGCCTCTGGCTGAGCAAGGCGTACATGCTGGTCATTCCGGCCTGTGCCAGGACGTCCTTGTTCGGGACACGATCCTGCCAACTGATGCCCAGGATTCTTCTGAGGCAGCGCATGTGGAAGGCATTGAGTCGACGTTCTTGGTGGGAGTACAGTGTCCAGGCTTCGCTGCCATACAAGAGCGTGCTGAGTATGCAAGCCTTGTATACCACTAGCTTGGTGTTGGTGGTCAGCATTGCGTTGTCCCAAACGCGTTTCCCAAGGCGAGCCATAACTGTTGCTGCTTTGCCGATGCGTTTGTTTAACTCTGCCTCCAGGGACAGGTTGTTGGAGATGGTGGAACCCAGATAGGTGAACGTGCCTACCACCTCAAGGATGTGGTCATCGATGGAGATTCTAGGAATGCTGCAGACATCCTGGACCATGACTTGGGACTTACAAATAATGTATCATTTACTGATGCAACACTACACCTACACCAATTTGTCGGAAGAAAAATCTATTTTCATTTTCATGGCTTAGGCCACACAAATTTGATTTGCTGATTCTTGGATTTTTTTTTTCAGAAAAATATGAAGAGACGGGGCAAAT